CATGAGAATTTAAACGGTAGTTATGGCATGAGCATGGGGAACACCTTGCTGATTTAAGTGTCTTCATTCGTAATGAAATGCCATTGCTGTGCTTTAGTCAGTCTTCTGTTGTTCTTGTTTTATCCACTTATTAACTCTGGCTTATCCATGCGTTGCGTGTTACACTGCATTCAAAATTTACCAATGAAAAATCGACTGCAAAAACGCGAGGTAATGCCATTGTTTAGTTTAAGGGAATTATCAAATGGTATCTGTTCTGTTCAACAGAACTCCTCATTTAGACATTTTGTCGAGATAAGACAATCAACAATTCGTTCATCTGACTTAGCAGCAGTTGAACAAGTTTATTGCTTACTTTACAAGATATTCACATTTGAGCAAACAAATTTTGCTATTCAATAATAAATTTACATGCGGTACATTTGTATTGATGCCTAATATCAATATATTCACGTGTAAAATTTGCCATTAACAAACTGTCAGGAAGTATAAAGATTTGGAGGTATGTTTTAGTAAAATAAAACTGAAACCAAACAGTTAAACAGGAATGTTTTGGTCCTCAAAGTCGAATAAATTCCTGCTGAGCACCACTGCTGGACCTCACCAGTATAAAACCTTGCGCACCTTATTATTCGTTTGAAAAAAAATTCTCTGAAAAAATCAAGCAAACGAAAAAAATTTTTTGATGATTTAAAAATGCGACGTACAATCCGTAATGCCGCTAAATGCTTAGAAGATAAATCGAATAGCTACGCTCGGCTAACTGCCAGTTCCAGAAATAATATAGTTTCCCAAAAGAAATTTTGCGTGTCTAGCAGACTTAATCATAACGGTAACAGCTATTGTAGATGGGCTTATCAGCTGCAGGGGTAATAGGATTGATTTAGCGTAACGGATGAAGGACGAAGAGAGACAAAAAAGCGAAAAATTCCAAGCGAAGAACTGAGGACAACGAGGCACGGGAGCTGAAAGAATTAGTTACTTGGCCTTTCCACTATTTGTAAAATTTAAGTGCACTAAAAAGATTGCGTACGTACACAGAACAGTAGATGGGTACTAATTGGAGATATTCAGCCCAAAATCGAAGGACCAGGCACAGCTGCACTCAGCGTGACGGGACATCCTAGTAACATCATTAACAGGGGCATCTACACTAATAACTCGAGCGGTTTTGGTATTTTTGGTAATTACATTGAATCGTGAGCTCAAGGCACCTCGCAAACTTGATCCGTACTACCACATAGTGTCCTAATTAACCCTTGTCTAAGTTGCCCTTGCAGTTTTATTATCTACTAGTGACTGCACACTTTGTGATGGAAACGACTGTTAATCGTCAAAGCCGAATCACCCAGGATTGACAAATCTTACCCGAACATGTAGCTGTATTTCAATTACACCGCGCACCGAAACCGATCAATAACATCATCCTCAATGATAAGCGGATCATTATTAGGTTTACAACAAACAATCAACAAAGAAATGCCTAAATACAATAATAACACCAACACAGTATGAGGCCA